CTTTCTGTTTTTGGTTTGGTTCATGTAGGATCAAAAGGAGCCCTGGTGGCATAGTGGTTAAGCGTGGGGCTGCGATCCTGCAGGGTCAACAGTTCACCACCACGGGCAGCTCTGTGGGAAAGAGACAGCGGGTTTCTATTCCCATAAACAGTTGCAGTCTCGGAAACTCACCGGGGTAGTTACCCTGTCCTACAGGGTCGCTAGGCATCAGCGTCAGGACCGCCGTGGGTAGGATTAAAGTGCCAATGGCACGTGAAGGGTTAGACAGGAACCTTGGGGGCAGCGAGGGAGGGCTAACCGGAGGAACATAGCGGAAAGGGATGGCGAGAACGAACGTGGCGCAACTCCACGCCTGTAACCCATGTCACTGAACCGTGCGCCCAAGTAAAACAAATGACCAGAAAGGGAGGCAAAGGGGTCCCTGCGCCCGTGGGGGTCCTGGGCGCGCGCCCCTCTGCTCACCTGGGCGGCATCGGCCGGCGGGTCCCCGGTGCGCAGCGCCTGCAGCTCCTTCCGTAGGCTGTCCCGCTCCAGCCGCAGCTCCTCGGCCTCCAGGCTGCCCTCGGTCACCAGCGCCTCCAGCATCTCCAGGACACGGACGATCTTGAACTGTAGCTGTGTCACCTGGGGGCTGCTGCCCAGGGCCATCAGCTCACGGCCCATCACGTAGGAGATGTCGTACACGTCCTCGGTGGTCAACTGCGCGGGACTCTTGCTGAGAGCCCCCTCGGGCCCTACCTCGGGCCTCGCTCTCTCCTCTTCCTCCTCCTCCTCTTCGCGCACGGGGGGCTCCTCCATGGCCACCAGGCCCCGGCAGCCCTGGACTTGCTTTAGCAGGCTCGCAGGAGCTCACTTCCTCCCCGGGCGCGGAGAACTTTGCGCCGGACCAGCCCCCGCCGGCGGAGCCGCCAATCGGCGCGCGGGGCGGGGCGCGTGGGAGCGCACGGTCCCGGGAGGGCGCGCGCGGCGGGGGGCTCAGCCGGGGGCTGTCACCTGAGGGAGGGTAGCGAAGACGCAGCACGCTGACAAGTGAGTCCAAGGTGGCGGGGCAGCGATTCTCCGAGCCCGGGAGCCTTCGCCAACTCGCGGGAGGAGGGGACCTGAGCTCCGCCCTTGGTGACCGCGCGGTTAGTGAAGCCGGGTTTCCATGGAGACAGAAGGCGGAGTTTCCACCTTGAGGTTGTGGGAAGGAGGGTCAAAAGCCCCAACTTTTTCCTTTCCGTTTTCAAGTTTTCCAGCCCTCGAATTTGCATCTCAAGTGCATGTAGGTCCAGGCTTCGGTTGGAGGGTATTTCCCCAAGTCCGCCTCTGCGCTGTGGTCAGCACGTAGCCAGCTGCCGGGGGATCCGACTGCCAGCGTGACCTGGGGCGTCTGTGTGCACTCTGACCCTCAGGGCAACGGAGGACCCTGGGCAAGTCATTGAACTCCTGTACATTTTTTCATCACTTTGCTAGGAGTTCCTGGGGGCAAGAAGGGTTGCTCTGATGACTCCCTAGCTGAAAGGCTGGTGGATCAAACCCACTCAAAGCTCCTCAGAAGACAAGCCTGGCCTCTCCTACTGAAACTCTTACGGAGGACAGCTCTGCACACACAGGGTTGACATGAACAGGAACAGACCCCACTGGCAACCAACAACCACAAGAGTAGTACCCGGTGGTGGGTCAGGTGCCGAGAGGAACACAAGAGATTCTGGGGTGCAGCAGCCAGCCAGCCCCCTGGCAGCACATCCCTATGGCTGTGGGGTGGCCGGGCAATCAAGTCAGAAATCACTACAGATGCCCAATCAATAATACCGAGGGCACTAGCAGTGTGGGTTACAAAACTCAAATCCACTGAAGTTGGATCAAAGTTGGGAACGGCCAAGGGCAGGAAACACAGTAATGGAACTTTCCTCTTTCTCCTGGGGATACTGGCAGCTTTCTCAGTAGCAGATGTACCCCATTGTCTCCACACGAAGGCTCAGAACAGCTGTTCTCAACCTCTGGGGCACCTTATTTCCGATGGTCTTAGGAACTGAGACACCACTCCTCTATCTGTCTCCAGGCGGGTCCCCCACATGCAGATACGCCCACCTAGGAGTATCAGGTGTGAAGACTGTTACCCAGGCTGCACCATGCTTCAAGACAAAATTTCATTGATTTGTCATTAGCAATAAATATTTCACAATATGTAATTACATATTGTTCTTGTGATGAATCACTCTACTTTCATTGTGTTTAATTTGTAACAATGGAAAATACATCCTGCCTAACAGATATTTACATTATGATTCATAGCAGGAGCAAAATGACAGTTATGAAATAGCAACGAAAATAATTCTATGGCTGGGGGCCACCACAACATGAGGAAATGTATTCAAGGGTCCAGGCATTAGGACGGCTGAGAACCACGGCTCTAGAACCAGGGTGAACAGAGGACAGGGCAGAACAAACAAATCAATGGAAGAATACAATCAAACAAGGCCAAAGTTATGTCCAGAGGTTATAATGTTCTTGATAGCCAAAGCAGGGTCAGTTTTGTTCTTTATTTAACAGTTTTATTGATGTATAATTCAGATACCATACAACTTAGTGGTTTGAATATATAAAAGACTTGTGCAATCATCCCCACACTCAATTTAAGAATGTTTTCTTCTTTCTTGTACTCATTATTACCTCCCCATTCCAGCTCCCTGCCATAACCTAAGAAACAATTACTGTTTCTATAGATTTGCCTATCCTGGATTTCCTGTAAAGCATACCCCGCAACACACACACACACACACACACACACACACACACACACCACACACAAAACAAACCCAAAGTGAAAAAAAAAAACCTAAAGCAGGAAATTTTGTTTGTTTGATTGGTTGGTTGAGAGGTTGATTGTTTTTTTGTTTTGTTTTTCACACCTGGCTCAGTAACTTGTAGTTCAGAAATGACCAACATCAAGTGATTTAAAACCCAAGATAAAATATTAGGCTCACCATTTGTAAAATATGAATTTTACACAATGGGATATGATTCCAAAGGAGTGCTGATTGTTTAGCTATGGAAATAAATGAAGTACTGATTCATGCTACAAAATGGATGAACTTGAAGACATGCTGCTCACTGAAATAAGCTGATTACAAGAGACCACATACCAGGGAGTTTCCAAAACTTCCTGGAAAAGGGGAATGAAAAGACAATGAAAATTTCCCATGAGCTCTTGGGGGCCTCCTTGTTTTATTTTGTATTGTGATCTTTTTGTGTTAAAAGCAGTAATTTAAATGTACTCATTTAAAATATATGATCATCTTTTACATTGTATTTTGATTTCTTTTTTAAAAAACTAGCACCTTCAGAAATGGAAATAGTCTTCTCAAAGCAAGGTCAGAAGAAAGAATTCAATGCTACTGAGATTCTTTTTTTTTGCTACTGAGATTCTTTGTATACCTTCAAGGTCTCCAGGATTGGAGCCCTGGTGCTATAAGGGGCTATACATTGTACTGCCAACCTCAAGGTTAGCAGTTCAAACCCACTAGCCAATCCACAGGAGAAAGATGAGGCTGCCAGCTTCTGTAAAGATTTACAGTCTCATATGAAATCTAGAAAAGATAAATCTGTAGCCAGTAACTGAAGTAATGGTTTCTTGGGAGTATGTCAGGGGAGTTTTGGGGAGAAATGGAGAGCTAATAACAATGAGTACAATAATCAAGAAAATGTTCTAAAATTAATTGTAGTGATGTAATGATTATGCAACTCTTCTTTAGGATTACTGAACTATTGAATTGTATTATATGTGAATTATAAACCATTAAAACTTAAAAAAAAAAGATTTAGTCTTGGAAACCCACAGAGGTAGTTCTACCTTGTCTTATAAGGTCACTGTGAGTAGAAATCAACTTGATGGCGGTGAATTATTTTTTAAGCCCCAGTATTGTCTGCATCACTGTCCTTGTTACAAGTTGCTTCTGCCTTGACATTTAAGCTTTCCCCAGAAATTCACCATCTAAGGGGCCCTCTCTTCCTTCCTCTTGCTCCGTACCTTCTTGTTACACAGTAAACCCAGTGTCTTTCCTTTAAAATATCAAAATGCCTTCCTTTGAGTAGCCCTGCTTCTGATATAAAAATCAAAGATCCTTCTGTTCATTAATCTAACAATGTATTTACTGGGCATGTACCCTCTGCAGTCTGTAAGATTATTGTCAAAAGGGCTGCCAGAAATCCCTGCCTTGAACCTCACAAATACAGCTTTCTAGTTCATAAACTATTCCCTTCTGACTCCTGTTTCCTCTTTACAAACTGGAAAGGACATAAATATAGCTACTCCTGATCACTGATGTGAGGATGAAGTGAGATCATGCACACAAAGGGTCTAGCATGGGTTCTAACGTCAGTGATCATTGGCTCTTTTTAAAGATAAAATGTCATTAAGCGTCTCTGGGTGCTTTCATAAAATCTGATCTGTCGGTGTGTAATTACAGCCCTTCTCTCTCCTTTCCCGCTGGGCAATTGTGTAAATGACAGCAGTGAGTTTGGGCAGAGGTTCTGAAAGTGTGAGATCAACAGCATCAGCATCACCTGGAAACTCAAAAATGCAGATTCACGGCTGCCACCCTGGGCCGACTGAATCAGAAACCTGGGAGTGGGCAGCAATTTGGGCTTCAACAAGACTTCTCAGTCACTCTGATGCACGCTAACCTTTGGGAACCAATGAGAGTGCTACAGTCAGACCACCAGGGTTCGAATCCACAGTTGATTGAGTCGATCCTGACTCGCAGTGACCCTAAAGGACAGAGTATAACTACTCAGGGTTTGCAAGACTGTACATCTTGACAGGAACAGATAGCCTCCCCATTCTCCCTTGGTACAGCTAGTGGGTTTGGTCACCAACTTTGCAATTAGTAGGTTCAATGCTTGGCTCATTATGCCACCAGGGTTCTCTAGGCAAGTAAATTATCTCCTGGGGCTCAGTTTTCCCAACTGTAAAATGGAGATAATGATAGATTCTCTACGCTTGTTGAGAAGTGCTTAGAAAACTAGTTGGCACATAGTAAGTGCTCAATAAATCCCAGCTATTAGAAATTATTTTTATCATGACATTACTAAATATAAGAAATTTCCCAAGTTCTTCTATTTATTTGGGAACAGGGTTTGTAGTCGAGCCAGTGACACACATGGCACATGGCAACAACAAGCTTAAGAAGAAATCCCATTGGTACATCATGATACAAAGTTTTAAAAGTAATTTCAGAACCCAGTTTCTCCCTGCAATGTAACACAGGCATGCCGTGGTGGCACCAGTTGTCCTTATTCTTTTCCTTTTCTCTGGGCAGAAACCAAAGAATGCCTTAAAAAGCGAACCGGGTGTAAAAAAACAACAAACAAAAAAACCTGGAAAAAAAACCCAAACCTGGTGTAAAAGAAAAAAAGGGAAATGGGAAACCAAAGTAAGTGGTTGGTTTTACTCGTCATAGAAATGTAACTGTTCATGTTTGAGGTCAACATCCACACACGTGAAAGTGCCATCAGCAAAGACTTCCCCATTTGGCGCATCAAACAAACAAAGTCTTACGTACTTCAGACTATCTATGAAAACACGTTATTTCCTGAGCGGCACATTCCATGTGAGTTTCTTCTTGTTCTCAAAATAATTTTTTAGGTCACGACTATTAAATCATGCAAGGAAACAGCAAGGATGTGGGAAATTTCCCTGTCTGGTTTAAATGCATATGATTCTGGGCCAATGACTCCATCCCTAGGGGATGAAGGTTTTAAGGAAAATAATCTGGTTGCAGGAAGGGTGGTGGTCGGCACTTGTTTTGTGTCTGTGTTTATATAAGAGCTTTTTTTTTTGCCTTCGCTGCTGCAGTTTATTCAGGGTATCAGGGTATGTGTGGAGTGCAGGGGAGAGAGTGTGGGGGCAGATACAGTCAGGGGTGGCTACTGAAGGGAATTTCAGAGTGCTTACGTTAGACAGGAAATCCAATTACTAGGAAAGGACCTAACAATTGGTAAAGTAGAAGGCCAGGAACAACAAGGGAGACTCTCAGTGAGGTGGACGGATGCACTCCACATTGACTTACAGACACAAGCTGAAAGAATGCTAAGGGGAAGGTAACCTTTGGTTGGTGCGCAGAACCAACCACAGCCACAACAGTAAGTAGAAATAAGATTATCTTCTTGGGAAAAAAATGAAATCAGTCTTGTCAGAAACCACCTCCTTGCAAGGATTCATCAGTAAAATGAGTGACTGAGGCATTTCACAATACACTCATCATCAGATTTTAGAAAGCAGGTTTTTAAACAATGAGTTTCAGGATGGAACTGAATCAAGTCCCAATCTCATCACATGTAATTTGCTTGAAGTACCAAATGGGAAGATGAGATACTTGCTAATGGAATCCCCAAATTTCTGTATGTCCGTCCAAATACTGACACCTTCATTTGTATTTAAATGTGAACCCATCCCAAAATGAAACACCATTGGAATGCATTTGCTTATCCAACCTATCATTATTTATTGCCCGTGGTCTCTGCCTTCCCTGGCCCGTAAAAATACCTCTCCAGGTTCTTCACTCTTTTTAAAAGATCATCTGGGAATTTGCTAAAAATGCAAGTTTTCAGAAATCCTGAGTTCATATATTCCAGCAGGCTGCCCTTCCCTCTCAGCTGTGTATTTGCCATTGACTAAAGTCAACGACTCCGAGCTCATTTTGAGAAACTGTTTCTTGAAGGTGAAAAACAAACTAAATAAATCCATGGGTTATTGAAACTCTGAAAAGCATGCCTCTAATATCAAGTGAACCGGCACATGCCTTTTTAAAGAAATAAAGCATAATGTTATCAGAGAACGATAAGACCCCTTAACTCTCATTCACTGCCATCCAGTCGATTCCATCCAGTGACTCTATAGGACAGAGTAGAACTGCCCTTTGGGGTTCCTAAGGTTGTCAATCTTTTAAAATTTAATAACAGTTTTAGTGGCACATAACTTACATATCATACAATTCAATAGTTCAAACGTTCGATTATATCATGGAGAATTGTGTAACCATTACCATATCAATTTTAGAACATTCCCCCCCCCGCCCCATTCCACCATCCCCCAAGGGTTGTCAATCTTTGTGGGAGCAGAAAACCTCATCTTTCCCCCTCAGGGAGCTGGTGTTTCAAACGCTGACTTTCAGCCCACCTTGCAACCTACTGCGCCACCCACTGGGCCACCAGGGCTCCTCGGCTATCGGAGCAATTCAGCAGCTTCCAGACAACTGCACATTCGACAGTCTTTCAATGCAAATCCGCTCAAACTGGCGCTTTTGCTCTTTGCATAAAAATGAAACAAAAGTAAAAAGGTAATTTTCCTCGAGGTTCTATGCCACTGACCTGCGATACATTTAATTATTTTCCGCAAAACAAAAAATCAAAAACTAGCGCCTGTGGCGAATCAGCTTCTCCGAAAGTAAAGGTCCGGTTGAGGTAGACCGGAAGAGTCGCTTGTCTCTCGGACCCGGCGCCAGTCCCTGTGGGAAAGGAGCCTGAGGCAGCCTGAGGTGAGGTGAAGCACTTACAGAGCGCGGGAGCCAAGCTGATGAGAAAGAAAAGGGAATTCGTCCCGGACGGTGAGTCTGCGCGAGTCTGGGCCGCCATGTTAAAATCTGGCAAACCTTTTGGAGTTGCGTTGAGGGGAGTGGGGGTGAAGAGGAGGGCTGGAAGGATGCCCCCTTCCATCCTGCGTCTACCAGAAGGTTCGGGGCCCCGAGGGCCGGCTTCTAAGGCGGGTACCTATGGGGGTCTCGGTATTTCTATGGAAACCTCTTCCTTGGCCCCACTGCGCATGCCTGTCGGACTTGGGTCGGTGGTTCAGTTTTGCTTCGCCATTGGGTGGAAAGAGCTGGAAAGTTAACCCAGAAACCCGGTAGACAGGTGTGACTTTAATTTTTTAAAAGCAGTTCTTATTTGTAGCACCAATTCTCGCTATAGACCACTTCGTTGACGTTTTCTCAGTAATTCATCACCAGTGAAGTGACATCCGGTTACATTTAATCGTTAAGAACCCCGAAGCACAAAATACTGGATTGTGGATGTCCTGACTCCCAATCCAATGTTCTCTTTCACTTTCCCAATGCAACTCCACAATCTTCCCCGTCTCAACCTTCCTCCTGGATCCAGAAGATAGCCATGCATTGAGGTTTGCGCAGGCCCCGGCCTTTCAGTGGTTTGGGGTTGCTATCTGCCTCATAAAGCATAAAGTGGAAGCTTTCTCCTCTGAGAAGACAAAAGTCGTCTTCTCCTTTGGAAAAAGCCTTCTACAGAGCTGTCCTGGGCGTTTGCCAGGCACAGAGGTGGCAGAGATTACGATGTGCAGTCTGGGTGAGCAGCTGAGGTAGAGAGGAGATCAGCACCAGTAAGCGCAGAGCCAGTTGCCTCCAGAGAGCCTCATTGTTACCCCAGCTCGCCCTGGTGCCCTCAGATCAATTCCCACTCCTAGTCAGTTTATGGAGCTCAGTGGAACTGCTCACCAGGGTTTCTGAGACTGTGAGTCAGCACCATCAGCTTCATCTTCCTCAAAGTGGCTGGCCGTGTTCGAACCGTGGACGTACAGGTAGCAGCCCAACACTTAACCAGGATGCTTTAGTAATAAAATAACCATACCGTTTCCAAAGGCGAAATGAAAGCAAGCACGATGAGACTGCAAATCCAGAGAGATTATCAGAGGAAATCTGGAAAGAGTGCTACCTCAGAAGACACCTTGTTGGGAGGATTCATGAGATTTGGTGAAGGGTATTGCTCTCTTGGCATTTCATCTTTGGTAGAAGAATGCAGATCAGGAAGTTCACAGAACAGTCACACGTATCCTCTGCAATTCCCTCCAGATTTTCATTTGAACTGGAGCTCTATGTATAATAAATACAGGCACACCGGTTTTACTGACTTTAACAATTGGAAAGTTTGTGACTACCCTATATTGAGCAGTCTGTTAGTACTGTGTTTTTTTTTTCCCCTAACATGTTTATTTACTTTGTATCTTTGTATACATTTTGGTCATTTTTACAATATCTTCCAACTTTGTCATCCAATGGTTGCACAAGCTAGTGTAGATAGAACTTTTCTATGCACTGATGTGGTAAGTGAAATTACTTGTGGTCTTTTTACCCATGTCTCTGTAATTCCCACATATGATTGGGTAGGATTATGCCCATAATCGAGGGGATTGGCCAGTTTTCCCTTTGCCCTGGGCATTTGAGAGTCATCTCAGAAGCAGCGAGGGGAGTTCTCTGACCGTGAAGAAGGAAGTGTTACCCGAGAAGCATGAGAGACCCTTGTCTGAGGGAGCAGTGCCACCAGAGGCTGCAGCACTGAGACCATGATACAGAGCAGAGGAGTAACACCAAGACAGTGAGGTAGAACAGTGGGCTTCCTGGCTCATGGAACAAGACCGAAGCCAAGAGCCCACATTAGAGACTGAGGACCAGAGACAGGCATGCCTGCCAGCATGGCTGAGAAGAGACATTGGGTACAAAAGAATTGTACGCTTACTATTTTCTGTCTCTTACTTTCCCATATAAACCCTCATAATCTTAAGTATTATCAGTGAGATGTGTGTGACTGTGGCAATGAATTATTGAATCCAGCAGAGCAATAGAATACCTTGGGAGAGATGGTTAATGTCAGGAAATGGTAAAGGAGGAAGGTGGAGGCACATCTGACCTCTTCCTTGTGGCAGTTGGCCTTGGGCTGGTGTGGAGTTGGATTCTCCTTCCCCTTTCTGAACCCTTAATTCTTAACACCAGTTAGGATTCCTCCTACTTCCTTGAAAGTACCGACTCCCTGTCTTTCCCTCAACAGTTCACACCACTGGGAATATTCTGGTCCCATATCTCCACTTCCGAAGTTCTCCTGGTCCATCCAAGTTCTGCTCCAAGCCCCACCCACATGAAGCAAATGCACCTCTCCCATAGCTTATTTTTGCTATTAGGAATAAGGATGTTGACACAATGGATGGATGTATGGATTGTAATAAGACTTGTACGAGCCCCCAGTAAAATTATTTTAAAAATGAGAAATAAAGATGCTATAAATAAAAAAAAAAACAAGGAATAAGGATGACCAAATCTACTTCACTGATCCCAAACTGCCAAATAACACCTCCCAACATTGACTCTCCACCTGTCTGAAGTGTTGTCAAGCACCTTAGTATTCCAGCAAAGAGTCACACAGTTAACCTAGGTGAGAAGGGACGACAGTTGGACTGGACTGGACTAAAATGATCCTAGCATTGCATTCTCAAACAATCAAAGGGTAAACCGAGTAGCAGGGATGAGATCCCATATTCCATGTATCTGTTGTAAAAACTCCCAACTTTTCTCTGTGCAGCCGAGCATTTCTGACAGAACTTGTCCTGCTAGGCAATGAACCTTTCCTACTAAAACCAAAACAAACGTTCTCAGATGGACTTAGTCAGAATTTCCCACCCCCAGCAGTTGGCATGTTTGGAATTCCTGGTAGTGTAGATGTTTTTGAAATGCCATATTTAAAACATTTTTAAATGCCATTTTTTCACAGTTCTAGGTGGGTTTTCCTACGACCATCTTAAAGTCCCTGGTGGAAAGAGAGCTTTGATTCTGATCCCTGTGCCATCACAATCAAAGGGCTTCATCTCTGGTAAGGGTCCTGCCATGCCTTAGTGACCCAGCAGGACAATCCACATGGGGATCAGATGCAAAACCACTGTTCTCTGCTGTGTCTTGAGAGGAGGGTGGAAGAGCAGACACCAGCTGCTTCTGCGCCTCACTTCCTGCCTTTGAAAGCAACTGCTGACTCCCTTTACTGCCTGGGAGACCTTTATCTCTGTGGGGCTCTGCTTCCTCCTGTGCTGGCAGGAAGGGCTGAGTAATCGCTTGGAACCATGGGGCTGCTGGGAGAACTACTGGGTTCCTGGTACAAAGCAGACAGTACCTAAATGCTTGCTGTTATCCTTCTCAGAACATGAATAAATGGATGCCCATTGCCAAGGAGTACGACCCGCTCAAAGCTGGCAGCATCGATGGCACCGACGAAGAACCCCACGACCGGGCAGTCTGGAGGGCGATGCTGGCCCGTTATGTCCCCAACAAAGGTGTCACAGGAGATCCCATGCTCACCCTGTTTGTGGCCAGACTCAACTTGCAAACCAAAGAGGAGAAACTAAAGGAAGTGTTTTCCCGATACGGTGACATCCGGCGGCTCCGGCTGGTCAGGGACTTGGTCACCGGCTTTTCCAAGGGCTATGCCTTCATCGAATACAAGGAGGAGCGATCTCTGTTGAATGCTTACAGAGATGCAGACGGTCTGGTCATTGACCAGCATGAGATATTTGTGGACTACGAGCTGGAAAGGACCCTCAAAGGGTGGATTCCCCGGCGGCTCGGAGGAGGGCTTGGCGGAAAAAAGGAATCCGGGCAGCTGAGGTTTGGGGGACGGGACCGGCCTTTTCGAAAACCTATCAATCTGCCTGTTGTTAAGAACGACCTATACCGAGAGGGGAAACGGGAAAGGAGGGAACGATCACAGTCCCGGGAACGACATTGGGACTCCAGGCCAAGGGACCATGACAGGGGCCGGGAGAAGCGGTGGCAGGAGAGAGAGGCAGCCAGGGCTTGGCCTGAAAATGACTGGGAGCGAGAGAGGGAGTTTCGAGAGGACAGGCCCAAGGGCAGGGAGAAGAGGGACAGAAGCAAATGGAGGCCCAGCAGCAAAACGGATGAAGACAAAGCCTAGTCATAGTGACCTCAAGGTCTGCACTCAACTTGCCAGCCTTGTGTTTGATTATACGGTACTGTCGAGGACGGGGCTCAGAGCAGATCGTCGTGGCAGTCTGGAACCCAGGTTCTAGGTGCACACACTGATGTGACGGGTTTATCCTCTCAGTTCTGTGTGTCCCCCGTGACTGCCAGAACAAGGACCACACACCAGGGTTTAACAAGGGGTTTAACCCGCCTTGCCCCTCCCTCCACTCCTGGTGGCTCTGGGAACTCCTTGGCAGCCTGTTGTCACATGGCCACCTTTTTTCTGTTAGTTTGGTCTGTTTTTCTTTTATTGTAGCTTGGGTGGCAGTCTACTCAATAAATTAGTATCCTATTCAAGTTTCCTCACCTTTTTTGATAAGTTAGTTGTGATCCCTCTATGTAACAGCATTCTTCCCACCCTGTCCCTGGGTCCCATTTCCATTTGTCTTGCTCCCTTGCCCCTTCTTGCCTTCTGAGCTCTGTCTGCGCACATGCTGTCCTTTTGGTCTCCAATTGCTGAGGAGCAAGCTCCTCCCCCCGGCTGCGGCTAGTCACTTTCACAGGCATCTGGGGTTTGGCCGTCAACGTACCTTTCTGGGGAACACTGGGCAGTCCACTGCAAGTTTATTCTGCAGACCTGTGTGCAACAAAGGGTGTGTTTACCCTGCAGCATTGCTTATGAAAGTGAAAGTCGGATTTGCCTGCTCCTGAATAGGGGGCTGGATGAATGTTACTAAATCATACAAAGGGTAGATCACAGTATCTCACTTTGGGCACTGGTGGTATTTAGGGCCAGGTGGGCCTTTGCTCTGTGTGTGTGTGTGTGTGTGTGTGTGAGATGTACAGCATCCGGGCCTTACAGGAACCCAGCAGCACTCGCTTCTCCAGCTGCAACAATCAAAAATTGTCTCTGTTGTTGGGTGTTGTAAGGTTGGCATAGCAGCCCTACCAACAACAAAGGAAAGTCTGCCCGTCCTGTGCCATTCTCTTAATTGTGCTTCAGCCCACCGCTGCCACCACTGTCCACCTTGTGGAGGGTCTTTTTCTTTTCTGCAGACTCTCCACTTTACCAAGCATGATGTCCTTTTCCAGGGACTAGTCTCTCCTGATAAACTAAGTCTCACCATTCTCACTTCCAAAGAGCATTCTGGCTGTACTTCCTCCACAACAGATTTATTTGTTCTGGCAATCCATGGTATGTTCAATATTTAATTCAAACTACCCAGTGTCCCTTGGGGGACAAAATTGCCCAGGGTGGAGAACCACTACCTTCCATATTGATGTGGTGTGAGTGAGTCTCAGGATATTTTAAGCTAAAGATAAAAGTAAAGAATAGCATGTATATAGTCTGCTACCTTTTAAGTACAAACATTAAGGGAGTATTAGAAACATGTAGGCAAGGTGAGTCAAAAAGTATTGTTACACAATCATAGAAACCTTTATTAAACAAATATCAAAATGTGAAGCTATTGTTCCTCAACATGCCCTCCAACTAGGCCTATACACTTTTGAAGGTAGTGTTCCCATCTCTCTCACCCTTCACCAGAGAAGTCTGCACTTTTCGATTGACACAACATCAAAATGGTAGTTTGGGGCATCCTTGAGGGGCTCAACTTGTGTTCCTTTGAAATGTTGTTTGGGGAACAAAAAGAAATTTAAAGGGTCAAAATCAGGACTATAACTTGGAGGGATGGAGGTTTTCCAACAAAACCCAAGTAGGAGAGTTCTTGTTATCCTCGAAGAATGAGCAGGTGCATTACCATGATGGGTGGAAAAGAACCGTTGGTGCAACTTTCCTGGCTTTTTTCCCCCGATTTCAGTTTTGGTTTTGTTTTTGAAACTTTCCCAATAAGTCCTGGTGATTGTCCTGTGTCCTTAGAGAAAACCTATCAAAATGACCTTAGGAGTCTCGGTTGCTTTAAGTTAACTAAGCCGACCTCTGCTTTGAGTTTCACTAGCCCAGCAGATCCTCTCAGGAGCCACTGTTTTGACTGGACATATTTTCAGAAAGTGCCCTAACTCGATTAAAACAAGAGTCTTCCTGAGAGAACCTGTCTGCAGCCACCCACTTAGTGCAGCGACATGTTGAAACATGTTTAGAATAATCCCGTGCATGGATAAGTTGAAACCCTAGTGCCATACACTTTGACTTACTGTCGTGTGTATATATGTAACCACAAATATAATTACAAAGTGTTTCTAGAACATTACCCAAGAAATGGGTAACTATGGTTAGCCGTGGGCATCATCAGCACCTGTGCCTTTTTTCTGAGAGGATGGCATTCTCCCGGGAAGCCTGGGGTGAGGACTACTGATCCAGAGCACCCCTACCTACCTGTCTGATCCTTTGGTCGGCATAGTGGAGACAGGACTCCACTATAGAGTCTACAGAGTGACCTGGTGGCTTTCAGCAAACAACAGTAAGGTGTGGGCACAGCTGCCCCTGTCACATTGACTTGCACACTTTCACAGGAAAAGCCACTCTCACTACACATGTGCCCACAGATCTGCATGCTGGTAGCCCCTCAGGGGAGAAAAAGACAGTGTTCCCTGGGCAAACCCTGAAGCCACCATTGCAGACAGGGTGTCTGTGTGCTCAGTCAAGTCTCTCCAACAAACTGTCCCAAACCCCATCCCCAGCCGCTTTGGGACATTTGTCTTTTTTATCAGGGGACCAAGTGACTTTAAAAACAGAAACAACCTAGCTACCAGCCAGTTGATACCGACTCCTAGCAACCCCTTGTAGGGTAGCAATGTGCTCCAGAGCGGTTTCTTTGCTGATTTTTTCACACACAGATTGCCAGACCTTTCTTCTAAGGCACCTCTGGCTGAATGTGAACCTCCAGCCTTTCAGTTAGCAGCCTAGTGTGGTAACCTTTGTACCACGCATAAGGCAGACCCAAAAGACCCACTACTGCAAAGGCCATTCCAGTTCACAAGGACCCAACAGGACAGTGTAGAACCCCAGAGGGCTTCTGAGGCTGTAATTGAAACAGACAGCCTCATCTTTCTCTTGACGAGCCGCTGGTGAGTTTGAACTGCCTACCTTTTGGTTAACAGCCAACACTTGTGCACCCATGCCGCTGACATTTAGCCAATTCTGACTCAGAGCAACCCTATGTAGGGTTTCTGAGGCAGTAAATCTTTATGGGAGCAGACAGCCTTGCTTTGCTCCACATCTCTCCCTTGTGGTTTTGAACTGCCGACCCCATGGTTAGTAGTCCAAGGTTTACCTAACAGTGCCACCAGAGCTCCTTCTCACTACCCACAGTGAAGGCTAGAAGGAAAAATGATGCCAAGGAAAAAAATCCACACGAGATGTTGCAGTATGTTACCCTTAGCAACTTTGTTTAGTTGGTTCTGCGTCCCTCACAGCAGACCCCAAGGCACAGGCACCCTCGCCTTGCACAGCTACATGCTCTCTGCACTACCAGGAACAAGGTGCAGCGGAGAATCACGGGCTCTTACAATGTGGCCTCCAGTTTCAGGCAGGGGAGCCACTGTCCCGATTACCTGTTGTTGTTTGAGCTGGACCAGGGGTGGGCCGGTGGCCAGTCCATTTTCTCTCCTGTTGCGCCAATGCCATGGACATTTCATGGGCACTCCTAGTAAAAGGCTAGCACTTCCCCACCTCCCACTTAACATTCCCCACCTCCCACTTAACACACGTAATCAAAATGATCTCTATACAGAGGAATCTAAACCAAGAGCATCTCAAACAGCGAGTCCAGTGGCAGGTGATGGATTTGGCTTAAAGACGGTTGTGTTGTCCTAATGTGAAGTCCAGCCTCCGTTCAGAGGATTATTACTTAGATAACCTCAGGTGTTGCAATCATCTACGGACAACAGTGGGAGCCCTGGGCAGAAACAAACCAGCCTCTAGAGTTTGGCGCCCCTTTGGAAAGGCCCTGCCTCCAGGCAGGCAGTGTTCCAGGGCTTGGTACCCAGGGAAGCCATGGTGAGGTGGATAGGGCCTCCACACCTGGGGCAGGTGCTGGCGTACGCACAGTTCAGGTCCTAGGTCACAGGTGCTGCAGGGCTTCCTGTCCTTGCTCTGTGTAGCTGTCCTCCCGGTGTGAGTTTGCCCACTGGCCAAAGGACTCGTGGACATGCGTGCTCCTCTGCGTGTTGGCCAGACGCTTTTTGTCTCGGGAGAAGAAGCTAAACCTTTGGAGAGGGGGCAGGAGAGAAAGATGTGAGCAAGGTCTCCCCTAAGCCCAGCAGGTGCCACACGAGGTGCTGGGTACATGGAGCAGCAGATGCAGGAAGGGGGCAAACAATCCAGGCCTCAGGCAGATGAGGTTGGGTGAAGATCCTGGTTATTCTAAGGAAGCAGCACTGGGGACAGAGGGGCCGTGCATGTCCTTTAGTCACGTCACCTGAGTGAGAGGTGACACGCTGACCACGGGTGTGTGTGTGTACATGATGGGTGAGGGGCCATCCTCCGGCAGCCCTCCAGAGGATGCCAGCCCCTTCTCAGCGGGCCGCTCTAACTCACTAATGACAGGCTGAACAGGAGTAGCACCACACAGGCTACATGGCAGGCAGGATGATTGTGATGTAGACAGAGACCTATTCTGAATTAAGTATGGGGGTGGGGGTGTCAAAAGACTTGTGGGGAAATTCCATAGTCTTTCTGTTCTGTTCTGCCCTGGACTGTTGGGAGCCCCTGGGGATCAGGAAAAGGTGTCAATGCCACATCAAAGCCGGGTTGTGAAGAAGGCCTCTCCATGAAGAAAAGCATACAAAGTACGTGAAGTTGGTGTGCGCGTGTGCATGTGCACGCACACAATTACAAGTTCACGTGTGGGTTCTCTTAGTGCTGGGACCTACAAAGTTCCATTTCCATCTCATCTGGTGAACATAATCTCCCTTCTGTGGTCACTGGGATCCACGATCCTTGTAGGCATCATAGTAACCGAATCACTTCTCATTCATTCCCACTGCCATCGAGTCGACTGCGACTCACAGAGACCCACAGGACAGATGCTACTGCTCCTGGGGGTTCCGAGACAGTAACTCTTTATGGGAGCAAGCAGCCTCCTCTTTGTTCCGCTGAGTGACCTATGGGTCTGAACCACTGACCTTGCGGTTAGCAGTTCAATGTGCACCCCACTGTGCTGCCCAGGCTCCTTCTGAATCACTTCTACAAGGAATAATAACCCAGGTTTATCTCTAGAAAGGCTCTGAAGACACTAGAGTCCTTCTCTCTGAGAAGCATGTGTGTGTGCCAGCAAGCAGGTGGAGGCTAAGTGTGGGCGCTTCCCAGGATGCATTACTGTGTTTGTTATGAAGGGGATTGCTCCACATGGTCTGCAAGGTTGTGAGCTATCAGAAGCAGGCTGCCACACTGTTCTTCTGCAGTGCCTCGGGGTGGGTTTCAAGCTGCTAGCCTTTCAGTTAGTAGTCGAGGGCTCAGCCGTTGGTACTACTCAGGGATGCCTTCTGCCATGTGAGCCCAGGAAGCGAGTGGGCCAGAAATGTACCAGCTCACTGCAAACCGGCAGGAGAGCAGGTCCTGGCCGAGGAGACGGAGAGGAGGAAGCAAGCCTGGGCCCCTCCTCTGCTTCTCTGTTTGCAGCAAGTGCAGATGGCTTCCTGGGGATGGCTTGGCAAGATAAAGCAGTTTAGAAAGCTCCGGCGTGAAGATGGAAAACACAATGTCAGTGCCACTCAGGGAGGGGGGTCACAGAGACTCGGCTTACTGACCCGTCACTCAAAGGCCCATCTTTACTGGAACACGGACATGGTGGTTTTAGAACGGAAACAGAAGAGACAAAGAGAATTATCGGTGACAGCCGAGACTTCCAGGGTGTCACTCAGGCCAGGTGAGTGCAAGGACAGGCATATATGGATGTTTCAAGTAGGGGACTCACAGGGTAACAGGGTGACAGCCATGCAGCAGCTCAAGTAGCCAGGAGGAGAAGCCAGCCCCGCCCAGCAGCCATGACAAGGGCACACCCCAAGCGGAAACGGGAGGAAGGGTGCCTACGAGGGAGACAAGTCCTCGGATGGGCTGCAGCGTGGGGTCGTCTATGATCAGTCCCGCTGCCACCATGGGCATTACGGCTGTAAAGATCCTGCTCAGAGAAGCACAGACACACACGGAGCATGAAAAAGAAACCCGCCACAGACGGTCCTGCTGACGGGGAAGACCACTGAGGGAGGCAGGGAAGGCGGAAAGGACAGGAAGGCACCTTCTGTAAGAGGCAGTGGTGGTGCCCTGGCCTGGGGATGGCAGGGAGAAGGAGGGCAGAGTGGCCGGTGGACAGGACACAGCCGAGGGCCCAGGGGTATGCCCACAGGAAACCATTGGGAAATCTCAACAGCTTTGATGTCCTCTCCCTAAAGGCCGCCTGGACACAAGTGTCAAACCACTGTCTCTTGTGGCTTGAGTATTCCTTGTGTAGGGGGGTGCCCTGGGGGCTGTCACAGAGCAGCAAGGATCAGCATCTTTGCAGAACCTCCTGCATGGCTTCTCACGTGGCAGTGGCAGTGACAAGACGGGGTGCACAGGGCCATTCCCCAGAGGCAGTTTTCTGTTCAGGGGCTCCCAAGCCACACCAATCTGCTCTTCTCCACCAGGACTCCTCTGAGCATGACAGGGTCGGGGAGGCAGCTTTGGACATGCGCCCGGAGAAAGGATCATCCCCCTGGAAACAAGTGTTGGGGAACCTGGGATGTCTGGGGTAGAGGGGGCCTAGTGGAGCTTGCTGGATAGGTGGTGAACAGACTGCCCTCTCCCTCCCCTTCCCCATCTTTCAGAATACTCAAACAAACCAGTTTCCCCGGGTGGCATTTCGAGCGGGATAATGAATGGGTGCTGTGAAGATTCAGAAGCCAGGTGGGCACTAAGTGGGAGGATGGGACAGAATGCATACTCCTCACTACCATTAGCCCCTTGGGTGGCCACCCACTCTGAGACCAGCCTTTCCTGAAATCAAGAGGCCAGTTGCTGGGATGGAAGCATCTTAGTTCCCCGCCACACCCCCTGCTGGCCAGCCCACCAGTAGGAAGCAGCTGTGGGGGACTGTGAGGGCTAGTGAGGGATGTCACAAAGGAGGCACTGGTGCCTGGTGTGGATGGGACAAGGCTGATGTCACTCAGGCACTCCCTTGTGACCTTCCGGGCAGTGCCAGCTGCCAGATCGCCAAATCGCCAACTATTCCTGGACGCACTGTTTGACTGGCCACAAAGCTCTCTGGTTCCTGTGGCCTGCTGAGCGGCTCAGCCCAGAAACACAAGCAGCTGGACGGGCCGGGTGCACTTTTGAGATAGGGGACTGGGCCGCCAGCCACAGCTGGTGACTCAGCAGCCATGGAGGACAGGGGCCACCTCCCAGCAGAGACTGTCCTTTGGGCTCCTGTTTGCTCCGCAGGAGTCCCAGTGGGGCTGGGAGCCCAGTGTGGGGCTGAGAGCCCAGAGTGGTGTGGTTTGGAGCCTCAGAATGTAGCTGCCCTCTGGACAAGCTTGGACAGTGGGTACTCAAATTCTAGCCGGGGTCCTACCCTAGTCTGATCTACAC